TACGTTGTCGAATGCTTTTTGTGCATCAAGGAAAACCAGTACCAATTGCTTTTCCGGATGCGCCTCATAATATTCTAATATATCTAGGATGACTCTTGTATTGTTTTTAATGTGCCTGTCCATTTTGATCTGGATGCATTCGTTCATTTAGCACTTGTTTAATTCTTCCTTCCATAATTGCTGCAAATAATTTATAATCAGAATTCAATAGTGAAATTGGTCTATAGTTTTGAATTTCTTGTAAGTTAGCTTCCTCTTTAGGAATGAGCGATATTATTGCTTCCGTCCATGATTCAGGCATCTTGGCTTTTCCTAAAACTTTGTTAAACATTTCCACTCCTAGTTCTTCCAATGTTATTTGATTATATTTGTATAACTTCACCGGGATTACATCTGGTCCTGGGGTTTTATTCTTCTTCTGGTTTTTCAGGACTAATTCTACTTCAATAATTCTGTTATTGGCCTGTTTATCGCCTCCCTTTGTTCTTTCAAGATTGGATTTATCTTTTCTGGGTTTAAATATTGTTTTATCTTAGTTTCCTCCGTACTGTCTTGCATGTATAATTTTGTGAAATATTTTTGAATAATTTGCTTCTTTTCTTCCTATTTATGTTGAATATTTCCCTTGTCATCTTTTAGTTATATATCATCCTTTTTTTGCTTTCATTTTTCAATCTGTATGCCAGCCATCGTCCGGGTTTGTTGGCTTGTTCAAAGTAATTTTGTTTGCCCGCTTTAATTTTCTGCGCTAATTCTTTTTGGGTTATTAAGTTAATCTTATATTTTATCTTCTCTCTTTTTTCTTTTTTAATTTTATTCTTTGGGTCTTTCTGTAATTCAGCTTCGGCTTCCCTAAGTTCTTTTTGCGTACGTTTTTGTTGCTCTTTTTGTTTTCTGATTTTTCTCTCTCTATAGGCGATCGTGAGGCCTCTTATATACGCTTTCATGGTATCCCAGATATTTTGTATTGAGGTGTATTTTTGTTCATTTTCAGAAATAATTTTAATTCTTTCTCTAGCATTTGAGTGTATTCTGTTTCTTTTACAATATTTGGGTTCATCATCCATCTTTTTCTTCTTTTTTGGCCTTTCCATTTTAATTTTATTGGGTTATGATCTGCCCACTCATTTGTTTCAATCTCTATTTCCTCTAATTGGTTATATAGTCCAGATGATATCCAGGCCATATCCATTCTTGACCAAGACTGGTGGGGGTTTGAATAGAAGGTATACTGCTTTCTTGTTTTGTGCATTTCTCTCTAAATATCATGTAGTGTATATTCCATTGCCATCTCAAAAAAGGATTTAGGTAATGTATTTTTTTGTCTTATTTTTTTAACTTTCATAGTCCATCTTTTTATTCACTATTGCGTTATAATCCCCAATTAAGCAAATATTTTCATACTCTAATTTATTTATTTTATTGTGCAATTCCTCTTGTTTCTGATTTGGTGCATATATCACTATTAATAAGATCGGTTTTTGTGTTGTTTCTAATTCAATCATTAGAATCCTGCCTTCTTCATCAGAGTACACTGCTTTGGAGTTTATTTTTTGTTTTATATAGGTTGCTGTATATAGTTTTCCTAATTTTGTGTTTTCAAGTAAGTTACTATGTTCCATTTTAATGTGCACTTCCTGTATACAGGTTATGTCTGCCTTCAGTTTCCTAAGTTTATTAAACATCTGTGCACTTTTCTTTGGTGTGTTCAATCCGTTCAAGTTTACCAAGATAATTTTTGTTTCCTGGTCCTCGTTAGATGGGGTGTTTTTTATTACTTCTGGTTTGTATCTGACTTTTTCCTCTCGCATCTTCCCTTTCTGCTCTCTCTCTCTCTCTCTTGCTTCTGTTCCTCTTCCCTGTTTCTTTCCTTTTCTTCTTCTGCTGCTGCTTCTTGACTTCTACTTTCTAGGTCCTCTTTACTTCCTTGTTCTTCTTCCCTTGTGAAGTATTTTTCATAGAATTCTTGAGCTTTTTCTATGTTATCTATTTTATATCTTTTTTCTTGCCAAGAGACCAATATCCCTTCTGGTACCAATCATCTGTACATTATTCCATTTTTATTTAACTGATTAGTTAAAATTGGTACCTTCTTTGTTGTTCCCTGACTCTCCGTGGTATCTGTTTAAGAGTAATCAACTCTTTTCCCTTGTATATTATTGTCCCTTCTCTGGTTTTTTTGTACACTTCATCTCTGGTTGTTCTTTTGGCAAATCTTACATGCACTTCTTTCAGTAGTCTATGTCTTCTGGAATAATTGGTGTGTACATGGTAGACCTCATCAATGTCTCCTCTCATCTCTTGTTCCTTTCTCTGTAAAATTTCAGAGAAAATTTTGTTCATTTTTCCTTTCAGGTCTTCCTCTTTTTCTTCAACTATGTTTTGGAATCTTAGATAATATGAAGCTCTTTCCATTTCGAGGAAGATTATTGATTTTTCTAACTCTTTATTAACTTGCGTATATTTCAAATCCATTTTTTCCATCCTCTGATCTGTATGTTCTATTTTTGTTTCAATGTTCTGGATTTTCTGTTCGTTGATTGTTATGGTGTTCTGTATCTTTTTAATTTTGTCATCCATGTTTTGGATATCTCCTTTCAATTCTCCCATTTCGTTTTTAATTTCCTCATGGTTCCTCCTCATCTCTTCGTGATTTGTAGCTATCACTTCTTGGGTTTTCGTCATTGCCTCTTGTATCATCTGGAGCATTAATTGCATACTTTGCATTGTTTGTGCCAGTCCCGCTGTTCCTGCTGCCGATCTGCCTTTCTCCAGTCCCAATGCACTCTTGATAGATCTTTGATTTGAGGGTGAGGATGCTGCTGATGAAGGGTTGGATGTTGTTTTTCCCTGTCTTCATTAAAGTAGTAATAGTTGCCATCTTTATCCCTCTGTTTATCCTCACCCACAGTTGCATACAGTTCTACCTTACTTCTACCTTATTGCAAATATCAGTGATTATATATATATATATATATCAATAATTCACAATAATTAACCATTCTTAATATCACGCTTCAGTATTTAGACTATTGTCAGGCCTGCAGCCGATTCCTTTTAGGATCTTTGGCCTGCCACACCCTCTCTTATTTTTCTATGCTGTTTCATTAGTGGGG